AGTAGGTACACACAATGAAGTATAATACTACTTTCAAGATTTCTCTTTCTCTTTTTCGAGAGTCGTAGAATTTATCACTATTTATAATATTAGCAGAAAATGTTTAAATATTCTCATTGACTACATACTATGTGAATGATTTGTATAAATTAGAATGTTATATAATCATAATAATGTTACTTATAGCCGTTGGTAACAACTCAAGGATCGATACAAGTCACACAAATAATAATATGCTGTCGGTACTTACGTTCTAAACATACACATAATTATAATAACCTGAGTATTTACTAATCTGTTCATAAGTTCCTTGTTTACTTTCGCCCGAATACTGAAAAGCTTCCCAACTTTAAGTTGTACTTAAGTATCGTCCCATCTCTGTCATTTTACAAGGATTTTCTAGGGACAGAACTATACGTAAGCACGTCTTAAAATTGGGAGCCGTCTGAATATGATGACATTACATCGACAAAACTGAATCAAGAACATAGAATGACGCACAATTACAATTTTTGTTTACTATTTAGTGAATTTGTATGTACAAGTAGCGTGGGAACATATTCCATTTGTTTGTACCGGAGTAGGTATGTATTGCGAACTATGTGTTGACACACATGTAAACAAGTTTAGTGATTAGTACCTGTGTTGTGAGTCATGGTAATATCGTGATCCGGTGCGGTCCACGGCTCGGAGGAGCAGCACTACTGTCGCTAACTAGACACTACACAACACTGCTCGTGCTGTTCCGTACACTGTGGCACTCCTCATTGTCGCTGGACCTCAGTCTCGCTGAGTGCAGGTGTCCCCGAGCCTCACTTTGAGATCTGGACAAAGTTTGCCATCGAGAGAGACCCTGTCGTCCACACACTCCTCCCCGTCACTTGTTTTGTTCCCATTCTTAGCTCCACTAGCTCCAGTGGAATTATTCTTCTTGACACAGATCTTAGTATTGATCCTGGAGCCGATGGCCACTGCGTTGGGCACACCAGTGCCTGCATTTACATTGCTGCCTTTTTTGTTCTTCAAAATGACTTCGACTGGTGTTGTGCTCGCGGTTGATGAGACATCCCCGAAGATCTGCAGCAGTTGTTCCTCGGAAGGCACGTAATCCTCGGGCATGCTCCTGCAGGCAGAGCTCGCGAGCAGAGTGAGCAGTACGAGCAGGACTTCCATGGTTGTGGTGGAGCGAGTGGGAGCTAGTGTCGCGAGATGTAGCGAGCGCGGTCACGGTCGCGCGTCGACTGTTTACCTTCGCCGGCCGCCTTTGATTTATAATAAACTTAAGATTCTTGTATTACGTCTATAAGCTACTCCATACATAAATGTATTTCAAATGTTTTGCGAGCGACGAAGGTAACGTCTTTGACATGAATCACCATATTTTCGCTTTTAATTTAATCGGTGAGTAACATTAATGAGAAATATTTGAAGATTTCTATTTTAATAATATAAGTTTATGGCAGACAATTAAGCTTATTTACGTATAACAAGGTATATTTTATTATATTTCCAGAAGGGATGACCTAATTACAAGTTGTCATAACACTCGGCTCCGTAACGTTGGTTTATGTAATATGCTTTACTGCTTGTGTAACTTGTTAATCAAGCGAGGGTCATCCAAATACAAAAATCCAAATTATATCAAAACGCTTGCAGAATTTAATAAACAATGTAGAGCTAGAAATGGGAAAAATGGGAAGAAAGGACGACCAAAGAACATATAACATAACATCACGCCATTTATCCCTTAGCCTATCGCCTTTTAGCACTTAATGCCACTGTACAATGTAACATCCACTTTTAACTATTTATGTAGAGTCCCATGTAATGGGGGTGAGTCTATTGCTATATACCAGATACAATTCCGGACTCCGTCCTACTATGGAGATTTAAAAAAAATACCCAGTAATACTTTGCCCGACCCGGGAATCGAACGCGAGACCCCTTGCCCGGCAGTCGCACTTGCGATCACCTCATTAGGACTCATTACCTGGATTTGGATGTGTTGGTGAAGATAGTATCAATGGTAGCTTTATCATTATATAACTAAGATGAATAAACAAAAACGATATTTTTTATGCGTCTTTGGCAGTATCGTCATAATTTTATGGACGCTCACCTAGTGTCATAGGTGACGTTGTAAAGTATTAAATAATTAGTGGTGACGCGGGTGTAAGCAGACATCTACATGTTGCCGACCTATTGTTAGTAATTGTGACGTTTTCGTATTTTAATTTATGCAAGTGATGTAGTTTCCAAGTTTGATAATAGCTAGTCTAAAGACTAAAGTGCTATTAACTTGTTTAAATCACCATAAATGTTGTACATGTGACGTCACAATACTCATACATACATACAATGTAAGAGCTTGACGAGCAACTATACGATCTTATATTTTATACTATTACTAGCGACCCGCCCCGGCTTCGCACGGATGCAATATGCATGTACTATACATATAAACCTTCGTTAACAATGCATTAAAAATCTTGCATTAAAAAAACCGCATCAAAATCCGTTGCGTAGTTTCAAAGATCTAAACATACATAGGGACAGACAGACGGCGTGTAGCGACTTTGTTTTATACTACATATGTAGTACTATTATATAAAGGTAAAGAGAATAAAGTTTGTTTGAACGCGCCAATGTCAGGAAGTACTGGTTCGATTAGAAAAATTAGTTTTGTGTTGGATAGTCCACTTATCGAGGAAGGCTATTATAGGCTATGAAACATCTCGCTACGATCAATAGACGCCGACCAGAGCGGGTGGAACTGCGGGGAAGTAGCTAGTATTTATAAATCTGCGAACAGATGTAGTTAGGATGTGAAATCCAATTCATGAAGCATACACTACAAAGGTACAAAGACTTTGTTCCGTGCAGTAATTTTATTGTGTATACTAGCTGTTCACGCGGTTTCATCCACTGCTCGTCGCGGAGAACCTAACGGGTAACCGGGGCTCCGACTCAACGTGCAGGAGAAGGAACGGGGTGGTTTTTAGTCAGTAAGAGTCTGACACTCCCTCCCGCCTCACCCAGGCGGGAGCAGTCATTCGATGATTTTCCCCCCTTAAAAAAAAAGAAGCCTATTTGTTAGCCTATAGCCTTCCTCGATAAGTGGAATATTCAACACTTTTATTCAATTCGGACTAGTAGTTGAAACAAACGAATAAACTCTTCAACTTTGTTTATTACACACTAGCTTTTACTCGCGGCTTTGCTCTCGTATTCTTGTTTTAACCAATGGGAGCATTTAATCAGGGTAAAGAGCAGCCATACCTGTAGACCAAATTCAATCATCAAAATCCGTTCAGTAGTTTCAGCGTGATTGACGTACAAACACACAAACAAAGACACTTTCACATTTATAATATTTGTGTGATTAAAATAAAATGTAAAGATAAATTACTGATAGAATAAGATTTATAAAACGTAGATAAAAAGGCGACGTATGTACGCAACTGAAGTGGCTGACTCTTTGCTCTAGTCGTGCATCGAACTCCGATACTGTCAATTACCAGTTGTCATTGCGTCACCTGTCACCAATCTTGAGTCATGTTTTCTTCGGTCAATTAATGTAACCACAAATAGTAAGTAAACTGAATTATTTTCACGAAAACAAAATGTGATGCAACTGTTTCTTTAGTACTTAAGCCTACATCAGGAATAGTGACGTAATAGTTGACGTCATCAATTCTTTTCTTAGTATTTAAAGTTTGTCCTGGGACTAGATGCCTAATATTTTATGTATTTGATCCTCTTTTTTAAAATGTTTCCCAAGTCGATAATGCATTTACAAATGTACGTATTTATGTGGATCACATTAAGTACATTGTGTAACTTGTGGCATTTTTTCAAAATGAGTTTTGATAGAAGTTTCATGTGAGAGAGCCATGCTTCGAAATTCGAATTAGGCCTACAGAGTACCTAGCACGAAAAACTATCGTATTCGTAACGTAATATATAGCATCGAGCGCGTTCTCCACTCTGGTTGGTTGGTTCACTGGAGCCGGCCAATCAGAGCGACGAACGCGCTCATTACTATTACGTTACGAATGCATTAGTTACTCGTGCTTGGCACGAGTTGTCCATGTTGCGTCACCTGACGACTGCGTGCATTCGTCAAAAACGATAGGCAGATTTAACGTGGTCGCTCCATGGACAGTTGTCATTGTTTCTTAACAAGATGCAAGCATTTGTCACTTGTAGGCCGTCTATTGTTTAAGAAGGATGCATGCATTCGTCAAATGATACGACGGAGATAGTTACTCTCAGAAGTGTGTAGGTACTAGGTAGTCGTTATATTCCGGATCCAATTAGGTACCTACATGTTCTACATGGGCATCACGTGCTGCGTGGCCGTGCACTCATGATGCTGCGGGTTATCATCGGTCAACAGATCTCATCTCCAAGTGAACGTATCATTTGTCATGTCCTAGTACTAAATGCTAGGAAAACGTACCTAATTGTGCATCAGATTCGATTAACATTACGAATGTTTATACACATAACATCACGCCTTTTTATCCCCGAAGGGGTAGACAGAGGTGCACATTACGGCACTTAATGCCACTGTACAATGTAACATCCACTTTTCACTATTTATGTTATGAGTCCCATGTAATAGGGGGTAAGCCTATTGCCATATACCGGGCACATTTCCAGACTCCGTGCTACTGCTGAGATTTTTAAAAACCCCCTAGTAATACTTTGCCCGACCCGGGAATCGAACCCGAGACCCCTTGCTCAGCCGTCGCACTTGCGAGCACTCGGCCAACGAAGCAGTCAGACACGAAAGTTTATAAATATATATTATTCAATCGTTTCGATTCGGCTGAAGGAGTCTGGATAAAATCCACAGACAATAGATAACAGACATACTTAGATAGCTAAAGGCTGAAATAATCTTATTTCCTGATGCTAGAAATCCATGAAAAAAAAAGTAGTTATGCGCTCTTTGTCAGCGTGTCTGTACGAGCTACATGAATGGTGGACCATAGGGTAACTACAGCAGTAGGTGGTAGTCTATTACATTTTGTCTACACCAAAGGCATGATCTCATGTATTTATGTATTACAAGCATGTGGGATAATTTTCAACTAGTTACGCGAGCGAAGCCACCGGTAGAAGCTAGTGTTAGTTATTCATTGCACGTAGTCAGCATTACCGTCGAGATGAGCTTGGTGACCTGCCAACTTGCACACATGTCGGGAAACACAGATTTGTGTCACACAGGTATATAGCTGACATCGAGAGACTACGTGTCTACTACTACTTTTTCGCGGGTAGGTGTTCTAAGAGAAAGACACAGGGAAAGCGTCTCTCCCAAAAAAAATCATTTTATTTGGTTTTTTTTAGTATATACCACAATTATCACAATAAGTACTGATTAAAAGGCACTACCTGCTGGTATAGTGTGTTTACATCACTTTCCTACCGTATAATACTACCATAACATCATCGGCATCATAAGCATGGAGGCAGTGGAGGCGGTCAATTGCACCCTGGCTGAGATGAGGGCAGAGTTCAGGGAGCGGATGTCTAAATTCGAAGCCGGGCATAGCAGCACACCGTCCAAACTTGCCTCTGGTGGCACTTCGAGTCTAGCACAGGACTACTGGACCTTTAAGCGGTTCATGTTTGATGCCCTTGAGTGTCTACAGCGGCAGATGGAGTTTTTTGCTCGGGACATGGATGCGCAGGAGATGAGAGGCCGGAGAAAGATGTTATTGATCCACGGAGTTCCTGAAATCCCAAAAGAAAACACATCACTAGTGGTCACTGGAGTCATACAGGAGAAGCTTAAAATGGACAATATCACTACCTCAGATGTGCGTAGATGTCACCGGGTTGGCAGCTTCACCAATAAAACACGTCCCAGACCAATACTGGTGAAGATGCAGGAAGTAGATACTCGAGACAAAGTGTGGTACAACAAGACCCAGCTCAAGGGTACGGGTATCACACTTTCAGAGTTCCTGACGAAGACACGACACCAGGTCTTCATGGCGGCGCGGGATAGGTTCGGTGTGTCGAACTGTTGGACTAAGCAGGGCCACATATATGTTCTGGGACCGGATGGCGTGAGGCACCGCATAGTAAGTCACAGCGAGTTGCGTGCGATCGGCGAGCCTGCAGCAGTCCCCGAGCGGTCTCCTGCGACGGTCCCCGAGCGATCTCCTGCGGCTGTGGTTCGGAGAGGGAAGCGTGGCGCCAGTAAAAAGTGACTTCAATGATCCTGCTTCGTTCGGGTAACAAATTCACCTCTTATTTCCTTTGTCTTGAGGTAGTTATCCAATACCCTCCCATTATATTTATTACTACTTAATGTATTTATTTTGTTTCTACCCATTAGAACAGATTAATTTTATTACTCCTCTACCCTTACTATTTATCTTTACTGCGTTATTATAAATGAATATTTCCAACCCTCTGCTCACTCTAAAATATTCTATGTTTATTTACTGTTTCTGACGTTTGACATTTGTCAAACGTCACGTTAATAGTTGCGTTCCGTTTGACATCGGATGCGTGAACTGTTTATGAAACCATAGACAGTTTCAATGCAGACGGTAATGACGAATACCCTATTTATTATTTGTATTATGCATTTATTTTATTTTATCAGTTTCTAATTATTGTTCTTTTAATATTTGTTTTATTTGGTACATTTATTTATTTTTATTGTTCTCTTTTTTTTTTTTTTTTGCTCTCTTTCACTTTCACTGTTAATTATTAGTTTAGTTAATTACTTATTTAATTATAAACACTGGGTTTTTTGCCCGAGCGAAGTAGCATTATGTCGTAGTCGTAAGGTAGTCCTACATTTTAATAATGTTATAACATGCAACCGGCAGGTGGATTTAAAACATTTTACGCAAACCGTCTTTATTTTATTTTTATTATTTTATTTATTTTTATATTTTATTTTTGTTTTTATACATATTTACATCTTATTTTAATAATATTATTGTTTTATATTTATATGATATGATGAGTAGTAACACGCAGAGTGATAATGAAAGTTTTGCTTCTGCAAATGCTGATGACGACAGCTTTACTAGTTTACCTTCTCTTGCTGATGTACTTGAGTCCCATTTCTCCGATGTACCGAAAAATCTGAATGTAGTCCATATAAATGCACAGAGTATTCCAGCTCACTACCACGATATGCTGGCAAATCTTGACTGTAAGAATATTCATGCGATCCTTGTTTCTGAATCCTGGTTAAAACCATGTCTTCCCTCCACTTCCTACTCTTTACCTGGATACCAGTTAATAAGAAATGATCGCACGGGCTGCGGCGGTGGGGGTGTTGCCATTTACCTTCGATCAAACATTTCCTTTAAAATAATTGACGTGTCACCACAGCCTCCGCCGCAGAACGCTGGCGAGCATCTTTTCTTAGAGTTGACTCTGCGCCACGCTAGAGTATTGCTTGGTGTCTACTACAGCCCTTCCCTACGTGTTGATTACTTCTCCTCCTTCGAAAATTTACTTTTGAAATTAACCCCCTCTTACAGCCACAGCATAATTATGGGTGACTTTAACACCTGTCTCCTAAAACAAGATTCCCGCTCCTCTTCACTTCAATCTATTGCTCATTCCTTCAACTTGTCTCTACTTCCTTTGAGTGCCACTCACCACTTTCCTAACTGTTCGCCTTCTCTTCTTGATCTTATCCTTGTGTCATCTGACAAACATGTTGTCAAGCACGGACAATGTTCTGCAGACAATTTTTCCTATCATGATCTTATCTTCCTCTCGTACAAAATCTGTCCTCCTAAATTTAAATCTAAAACACACTTTCAGCGCAATTTTGGTAGCATGGACCATGACAGGCTTCGTAGGGATGCCGGCAGCATCGACTGGTCTGAGCTCCTTGCCGCCGAGTCAATTGATGACAAAATAAATATTTTTAACGAAAAACTTATCGGGTTGTATGATATTCATGCCCCGATACGACCAGTCAAAATTAAACATGTACCAGCGCCGTGGTTGACAGATGAGATCAGGGCCGTAATTCGCAGGAAGGCAGTAGCTAAAGCCAAATTTAAACGCCTACCTAATCAGATTAATCGCGAAGAGTATATTGCAACCCGAAATCGGAGCAACAAGATGTGTAGGGATGCACAACGTCGCCATATTCATGAGTCTGTAGAAAATGGCGACCCGGCTAAGGTTTGGGCATTCTTGAGATCTATGGGAGTTGGAAAACAGCGTCAGGATGGTACCTCTAAAAACTTAGATTTCGAATCCCTCAACAAACACTTTTCTTCTTCACCTTATATTAATGGGTTTGTCAAGGCTAAAACCTTAAACTATCTTTCTTCTCTTTCCTCTCCCGACTATCCACCATTCTTCTTCGATCAACTCACAGATTGTGGTGTTAGGAAGAGTATAATATCCATCAGTTCCAATGCGGTGGGGAGTGACTGTGTTAGCCGTAAGATGGTGCTCCCTATCCTGGATGAGATCCTTCCTGTCATTTGCCACATCCTTAACTATTCCTTATCCCGTTGCGTTTTCCCTTCTGCATGGAAGGAAGCGCAAATTACACCACTTCCCAAAAAACCAAATCCAGAATCCTTTACAGACTATCGTCCTATTTCTATTTTACCCTTTCTTTCTAAAGTCCTGGAGCGTCTCATCTATAACCAGCTTAGTGCCTTCCTCACCAAACACAGTCTCCTTAATCCTTACCAGTCCGGGTTTCGTCCGGGACATAGCACCACTACGGCACTAGTCCATATCACTGATGACATACGATCTGGTGTTGAAAACGGCAATTTAACCCTCCTCACCTTGCTAGATTTTAGTAACGCCTTCAACACCGTTGATTTTGATATACTGCTTGGAATACTGGGCTCTCTTAACATATCTCCAACTGTGATTGATTTCTTCCGTAGTTACCTGTGTGGCCGCCGACAGCGTGTCGCCATTGAGGGTTTATACTCTTCCTGGTCTGATACGACTGCTGGCGTACCGCAGGGGGGCGTTCTGTCTCCTCTACTGTTCGCTGTTTTCATAAATTCCATCTCAAATAATCTTCTATCTTCCTACCACTTGTATGCTGACGATCTACAAATTTACTCTCAGGCACCACCTAGTGAATTCTCCGAGGCGGTCAAGATGGTAAACACCGACTTGGCACGGATCTCGGAATGGAGTACGGCTTATGGTTTAAAGGTCAACCCCGCGAAGACCCAAGTCATTGTAGTCGGTAGCCCTCGTCTGCGCTGCAAGATTGTATGGTCCCAAATCCCGCCGATTGTCTTTAACGGTGCTACAATACCATATAGTGATGCGGTAAGGGACTTGGGTATTGTCATAGACCAGGACTTCTCATGGGGACCTCAACTGGGACAAGTCAGTCGAAAAATTTTTGCGTCGACGAGGTCCTTGTTGAGACTCCGAAACTTTCTTCCAACTGCTACTAAAATTGTGCTTGCTCAATCACTTCTCCATCCCATCCTCGATTATGCTGACGTCAGCTATCCAGATCTTACCGAAGTGCAGTTAAATAAACTTGAGCGACTCCAAAATTTTAGTATAAGGTTTATATTTGGACTACGTAAATATGACCACATTTCAGAATATCGTGCTAAACTCAAGTGGCTGCCGATCCGCCTTCGCCGGAATACTCATATCTTATCTCTACTCTACAGTATACTGTTCAATCCTTCAACTCCCCATTACCTCAAAGAACGTTTCAGGTTCTTCCATGACACACATTCTAGACCAGTACGTTCATCGGAGGATTTGAAGCTTGAGATGCCCCAGCACGCGAGCAGATCCTTTGACCGATCCTTCACTGTTCGAGCTGTTCGACTGTGGAATGCATTGCCTCTTTCTGTAAGACGAGCACAGACACTCGCTACGTTTAAAGCACTCGTGAGGAAACATTACCTCACCACGGTGTAGTAAATTACTATTTGGTTTTCCCTGCCGACTCTTATCCGTCATGTGTATATATTTTATTTTTATTTATTTACATATC